GGCCGGCCAGCCTGGCGCGAGCGCGTTCGGAATGGGCGGCGTCCAGGGCGGCTTTGGCGGACCTCGTGGTGGACAGCAGCGTGTTGGTGGCCAAGGCGCCGGCGCGATGGGCATGAACCCGTTCGTCCGCTCGAACGGCGGCATGCAGGGACAGGGCGGCAGGAGGCAGCAGGGCGGCGGAGCTCAGCAGGGCGGACAGGCCGGCGCGGGCGGACCGAGTCTCGCGGGTACTGTCGTCGGCAACGAGTCGGACCCGAACTGGCGCGAGCAGAAGATCTCCATCCCGAGCGACATGGTCGGCTGCATCATCGGTCGTGGCGGCACCAAGATCAACGAGATCCGCAGGATGAGCGGTAGCAGGATCTCGATCGCCAAGACGGCGCACGACGAGACCGGCGAGCGCATGTTTGTCATCTCAGGTCTCCCCGAGTGCGTCCGGTGTCCCCTTACCAAGCTCATCCGTTCTCGCCTGACCATTCCGCGCGCTCGCAGGAACAACGAGAAGGCGCTCTATCTCCTTTACAACCAGCTCGAGTCGGAGAAGGAGCGTCGCGTCCAGTCGGTCCAGGAGGAGCAGGCTGCTGCTGCTCAGCAGGCCAAGGACGGCAACGCTGCTGGCGACGCCTAGACCTCCTTTCCCTCCCGCCTCCTCTTTCCTTCGCCTCTTTCTGTCTCGCCCAGCCAGTTCTCCGCTTGTCATCTCTCGCCTTTCCAAAATGTCTACACCAGCTCCGCCAAAACTCTCCTCGTCTCGTTCACATCTCCCCTCTCAACCAATCAGCTACTTTCTCGCCCTCGTACTCATGACTCGATCCCACCACCGCCGCCACCTCGCCTCTCGTCGACCGCCGTCCTCCGGTTCGACAACAAAAACCCTTCGTGCATGTGTGTGTGTGGAGTGTGTCTGTTGCGTGCGATTGTTGTGTGTGCGAGTAGTGCATCGCTTTCATTCGAGACCGGCGGGCGGAGAGGGAGGCAAAGGCGGCATTCTGCCTTTCGGTTCTTCCCGCTCCGTGTGTCGCCTCGATTGTAACAGTAGCCTAACCTAAGAGGACGCTCGACTGTGGGAGAGATGCGAGACGGATGGATGCGAGTTGCGAGAGGCTACAGGGTACAGATGCAGCGGAGAGGGAGGGGAGGACAAAGTCCGACAACAAACGGCGATTCTATCCCAAGGACCGGAAGAAACAGAACAGAAAGGAGCACATCCAACGCTCAGCGATCGAACAGGAAAGCCTCCACAGCTTCGTCGGGAGGCAACGGCGCGCTCGAAGGCCACTTGGTCCTCGCATGCGCCTCAGCGCGCCTCTTCGCCCGCGCTTGAGCCTCAGCCTCCATCTTCATCTGCAGATCCACGCCCCCGTTCATTTCCGCCCAGCTCTTCGAGAGCCCGCGCTCGTCGCACCACTCGATGAACCGTTTCCAGACGCCGAAGTCGAGATCTGGGTCCTCCGACTCGCGCTGTCTCTGGTAGGACGATAGCGCTGCTGCACGCTCGAGCGTCCGCCGGTTGCCGACGACGATGAGGGCGTCCCTCGCGCGAGTGAGGGCGACATTGAGCCTGCGCTTGTTGGTGAGGAACCCGATCGAGCCGTTCCAGTTCGACCGCACCGTCGAGAAGATGACGACGCGCTTCTCGCGGCCCTGATACGCGTCGACCGTATTGACCTCGACCTGCGAGACGGTTGCTGCACGGACGGGGCCGAGAAGCGTTCGCAAGCGGGCGGTAGCCGACGAATCGTTGAAGGTGTTGCGCACAAGGCGAGTGTGCGAGTAGTACGGGGTGATGATGCCGATGTCGCTGGCGTCGAGGTCCGGGTTCTCGAGGAGGAGGTCGCCGACGATGTCGACGAGAACCTCGACTTCGTCGCGGTTGAGCCACGACGTGCGATGCTTGGTCTCGCGTCCGTTGTGCGAGATGAAAGCGACCGAGTCGTAGCGCTGGTCGACTTCGGCGAGGTCGCCGTCGGGAAGCAGCTTCGTCAAGAGGAAGCGGGACTTGGGAGGCGAGTGGCGATCGAGGACCGTCTCGGCGTCACGGAGGGCGTCGAGGTAGAAAGACTTGTTCGGGAAGGCGGAGATGGACGGGCGCATGCGGTACTGCATGTCGAGTGTGATGGAAGGAATCTCTGCGCGGCGGAGTTATCAGTCAAGCGTGCGCTCGAATGGCGAGAGGAGCACGTACTGCCGGATTGGAAGAGACGCTCAAACAGACTGATATGCAGCCGCTCGCGCTCGGCTTCCTTCGACTGTGCGAGATTGATAGTCAGGAAACGGTCTGAGGAGGCACAGAGCAAGACGGACGCACCGGCATGACGGCAGGTAGCTGCTTGTGGTCGCCAATCAAGGTGGCGAGTTGCGCACCTTTCATCAGCGGAAGCAGCGAGACGGGCTGGAGCGATTAACACGTCAGCGGCGGACTCGAGGGTGGCACACGACGACTCACCTCGGTACACATCGCCGCCTCGTCGAGCAGCACAATCGGGAAGTCGACTTGCTGCGAAATATAGAGTGTGAGCTTGGGAGGAGCATGTGCACGGGAGCCTGCGAAACACACTATGAGCGCTTTCGAGTAGCCCGACCCCAAGGCGGTCGAGCAGACGACGTCCGCGGTGGAGAGCAAGCTGGCGTGAAGCTTGTGCTCCAGGACGACGAAGGCTCGGAAGGTCTTGATCAAGTTTTCGCGAAGAACGACTGGAGAGAAACCTCGGGTAAGTCTTCTAAGGCGTCTTTATCGGGACGAGAGAGGAACGCACGTCGCTCGACCTCGATCTTCCGCCGCTGCCCGTCCGTGATCTCCTTCAGATTGCGAACCTCCGCCTCGAACGCTTCGGAGAGCGCCTTCGCCTCATCGAGAGCGCCCTTCGCCGCCTCGACGCGCGGCCAGAGCGGATGCTTCTCCTGTCGCTCCTCGATCGTCCACGGCCGGCACGATTTGTCGACCCTAGGCAGCTTGCCGTGTCGCAGCGGGTTGAGACCAGCCTTGACGAGCGACTTGACGAGGTGGTCGACGGCGACGTGGGTCGGAGCCGCGAGGAGGATGGGATGGGGAACGCGCCATTCGAGCTTGAGCAGGGCGATCAAGCTGACAATCGTCTGCGACTTGCCGGTACCAGGCGGCTGTAAGAGGCGAACGTCAGTGGACAGCTTCGGTGGACGAGCGACGGAGATGTACTCACGCCCTGGATCAAGCTCATTCGCTGCCCGAGCGCCATCGCGATAGCCTTGGTCTGGCTGGGGTTGAGGCCGAGTTGCGGGTCGCCAGGCATCTCGATAGGGTCGTCACGCGAGTACCGCATGATCCACGAGTTGATGAGCTGGTTGTCGCGGAGCAGGGCGGACGGGATGGACGGTACGGGAAGCGCCTCGACAATCGGCTCGGGCGTGGTGATCGCGACGCCGTCTGCATCCTCGAACGCTCCTTCGGCGTACGTCACCGTCTTGGGCAGAAGAAGGTGCTTCGCGTACGCCTCGTCGCCTTCCTTCGGCACGATGAGCTCGCGAAGGTCCGTCCCACGCAACGACACCTCGTTCAAACGCCGAACGACTCCTCCCTGAACGACGTGCGTGAGCTGAGCTCTGCGAACCTCCTCATGGTTGTGCGCGCGCTGGAGGGCCGGGTCGTAGAAGAGGCTCTCGAGCGCCGCGTGTTGCAAGTCGATGCTGGTCGTCTCGGTGCCAATGTCGATTCTAGCGGAGCGTATGGGTCAGTCGACGCAGAGCACAAACATGACGAGCGCAAACGCACTGGTAGGCATCGTGCAGGTCCATCGGCCAGACGTCAAACTCTTCAAAGATGAGGACCAGCTTGTTGTCGCGGATCTCGAGGAGCGATCCCTGAACGTGCCACTTTGCCACTCGAGCCGCCGCCGGTGGTGGTCGCGGACCTTCAGCATCGAGTTCTTCGTCGCTGGCGGCCGAGATGCGGACGGGCTGGCCGGGACTGCGTGGGAGGTGAGGTGAGCGAGCAATCCACCACGCCTTCGGGCGCGAGGACGCACGTGAAGACGTTCTTGTGCCAGTCAGAGATGGGGCTGCCATCCTCGAACCCGAACTCGGCGACCATTCGCGCCGAATTGCCACTCCCACCGAAACTCGCTGCCTGCCGTCGCAGCCGCATCCGCTCGTCCGCAGTCAAAGACATCGCCTGGTTGACCTCGTCCTGGTTCGACGTCCAGCAGCCGAGCGCGCGAGCGATTGTGACGCCCTTGCGCTCGCGTTGGAGAGGAGTACCGAGACGTTCGAGCTTGTCGAGGTAGTGCAGCTCTTCGCACTCTTTCGAGAGCGCGATAAGTCGCTCGAACCTGAAAGACTGGCGTAAGCGCCTCACCGGGAGAGAAATGAAGGATCGGGCGCACCTCTTGCGGTACACCTCCGCCTCTGCCCACTCGCACCTGAACTCTTTGGGAGCGTGGCTCTTGAACCCCCACCGTTCTCGCCACTTGAACCTGTCGTCCTTCTCCTTGTCTATGTTGGCCGCCTCGATGCCGACGCCGACGAGACGGTTGTGCCCTTGTGCGAACGTGCTCGTGTCCTTGACAGAGTAGAGTGACGGAGGAGTCGAGTCGACGAATTGCCGAACGGGGGATGAGAGGCGCCAGTCGTAGCGGGAATGGAGAGGGTAGTGATGTGGTTGAGGTACGGGGTGCGCGGGAGTCGCGTCGTGGACAGGCAGAGGCGGAAGGTAGGGTCGAAGTTGGGTCGCAGTCTCGAGTTTCGGGGCTGGAGCGAGGCGGAGGTGGTTGCGTCGTTTAGCGGGTGGTCGGAGGAGTGCTGGTACGAGGTCGGGTAGTCGTCGTGGAAGAGGTCGGCCGTCGACGAACTCAGGCTCGACATCCGGTGCGAGGCCTGCCAGCGTCTCGAGCGAGACGTCGCTTCTTCGCGACTTTGGCTTGCGACGACGAGGTTCCTGCTTCCCTGGCTTCTGCGACTCCTGCTCCTGGTGCCACGACAGGATCTCCGGATCCACTTCGCCGTCGGCCTTGACCTTCTCCTCGTCCCACGCTGAGGACTTCCGCTGCTGCCATGCGATCAGTTCGTCCATGAACGCAGCTTCCGCTGCCTCGTATGGCGCACTGGACGTAGCAGTCTTCGCGATGTTCGCCAGGAAATCGTCCAGATCTGGCGAAGGTGCGGTGTGGGAGGGTCGAGGCGGTACGGGCGGTGGCGGCGGATTGCGCTCCCATCGTGTGACCGGATCGGGTGCCATGTGCGCATCTCGCTGCCGAATCCTGCTGGGCGACTGGACGGGCTGCGGCGGGCCTGCGAGAGGAGGGTAGTTGCTGCTGCCGCCTGCACGTCGATGGGCCGCTCTAGATGGAGTCAATGTCGTTGTAGGGCAGAGCAGTCCGCTTGATACGCTCCCTAGCCGCACTGGACGCATTGCCGGGGATCGAGGGAGGTGGCGAGAGGTTCGAGAGAGCATGGCGAGGACCCGCTGTCGGCTCGTGAGGGCGCGCCGGGTTGCCTGTGGCGTTACCGTCAGTACTTGAAGCTGCAGTGGACTTTTCGAGGCGCACGCACCCGTTGTCACCGCGTACTCACTCCTCGTCGAGATCCGCGACTGAAAGGAGAGATGAGCGGTCCCTCGCTCGTTCGAAGCCGTTCTGACCTGCCAGGCGCGTCCCACAAGGTCTCCACAAGCCAGTAGCAAGCAGCTCAAGCCGAAAGAGCGGAAGGAGTGAGCGGTTGTGGCCAGCTCCGTCTCCCGTTCCCCTCTTGCCTCCGCATCCACCCCTTGACACCGCTCGGCTCGCTCGAAACGCGCTCAGATCGATTGCTCGGCTTGTTCTACGGCGCACAGACCGCCCGCCTTTGTCTGCTTGCCCGCCCATCTTGTCGCGGCCGCGGTATCTCTCGCTCGAGCCGGGTCAGGTGGGGGAAGCGATGTCTGGCGACGACGGTCTCCGAGACGTTGTGGGCAAGTCGAGGTGCGTTGAGCAGTCACGCTTGTGCAGACGCGAGCTGACCGAGGTTCCGCAGCGTTGAGCGAAAGGTTCACTTCCCTCCGACTACTCCTTACACGCCGCTTCTCCTCCTCGCAGCGCCCAAGACCACCCTGTCCTCTCTGCCAACTGAGATCCTCGACCTTGTCCTCTCGCACCTCCCCCTACCCTCGCTCGCCGTCTGTGCCCTTCTCAGCCGATCATTCCTACCCCTCGCTCGGCAACACCTTTATCGCCTCCTTCCCCTCCGCAACCAGCGCAACGGGCAAGCATGTCCGACAGGAGCATCGACATTGGACGAACCTTCGACGGCACTCATCTCGACGCTCGAAGCGCATCGCGACACTCTCGCCCCGCTCGCACAGCGACTCGACTTCGATCTTCTGTCACACCTGCCAGCCGAAGAAGTCGCGACTATCCTCTCGCGGATCTTCGCCTTGTGTACGGGCATCAACGATGTTCGCCTCGGCGCCGGCTCGCATGGGCACGGGATGGGCTATCGCTGCCTGTTGCGCGCCCTCACCCTGCATCCTCCCGCGGCAGAACGGCTTCGCGTACTCAACATCGAGGAGTGTGCAGGCGCGGCACACACGCTCGCTCTCGTGCTACTCAAGGCGCGCGAGCTGAAGGAGCTGCGGATCGGGCAATTCTTGCTGGAGGATGAAGACTTGGAGGTCTTCTGCTCCGGGCAGAAGCCTGATTGCCAGCTGGAGGTATTCACCGCGAAGCAGCGGATCACACCCCTCGCATTCGACTTCTGTACCGCCGCATCAGGTGCGACACTCCGAACAGCCGACCTTCCCATCTGCGAAAAGACCGCGCTCGACCTCTCGCCCTTCTCGTCCCTCACCTCCGTCACGCTCTTCGTCTTCCTCTCCGCTGCACCGACACCGTTCTCGCCCTCGCACCCCTCGTTCGCACCGACCATGTCGCGCCTCAACCGCAACTTTGCCTCGACCATCGCCTCAGTCCCGTACCTCCAGCGTCTCACGCTTAAGGGCCTGTGGGACTGCGCGATCACTGCTCCACCGGGCGCGAGTGCGGCGGTCGATCTCGTTCGACACGCCGAGCTGCTTGAGGCGTTGCCGAATGAGAGGGGAGGGCTGGAAGAGTTAGTGGTCAAGTCGGAGCTCAACTCGATTGCGTTGACGAGGTGGCTGGCGAACGATGTGTGGTGGGGTGCGTATACGGTGGAGAAGGCTGAACGAACGAGTATTGGAGGAGAGGTGCCGGAGGACATCCCGGATCGAACGCCGTCGCCGCCTTTCCTGCGCAGACTGCCATGTCCCGACATCCCGCCCTCTTCGCCTCCATCCGTCGCATCTATCACGCCCTTCACCGCCTCTCCCGTCTCGTCACCCATCGCACAGACTCCCTTACCCTCTCGACCATCGACTCCTCTCGAAACCGTCTCCCTCCCTTCACCTCTTCCACCAGTCTCCAGCTCGACCGTCTCCCTCCGCCGCCTCTAGCTCTGGCAGAAGCAGACCTACTCTGCCGCTCGCCGACTCTTCCAGGCGAACGTGCGAGAAAAGGTGGATGAGGAGGCGAGGAACAGGGGCGTGCAGGTTGAGTGGCGGATGTATGAGAAGTGGTGAGGAGGTTGTCTATGACTAGTGAGCTATTCCTGCAATGTTGGCAGTGGTTGACCTCGAAGAACTTGCACACGATTTTGCGACTTGGGAAGGCCGACGCTTGCTTGCGCCCTCGACTTGCCGCTCTGCGCTCTCGCTCTATTCCAGGCTGATTATGCGCGCAAAGATCGCTGTCTAAGTTGCCCCGCTAATGACGATATAGAACCCTTACTTCCGACGAACCCTTCCCAACTCGACTTCCCCTCTCGCTCACAGCGTCTTTCACATTCCTCCGCTCGTCAGCGCTCGCTCCTTCATTGCCGCCCGGATCTGCGGACACCCCTCGCCGTCCTGCATCTTCCCGACGGCTTTGTCGAAAGCTGCGGCCTGCGCTGGATTGGTCAGGCCTTGCAAGGGCGCGCCTGCGACTCATCGCCGACGTTAGCGACGAAGTCGGAGTCGCAAGAATGGGAGAGTAGAGCGCACCGTTCTCGCCTTTGATGCGAAAGGCTTGGAGCTTGCCGTTCGACAGCTTGGTCAGGACGTACTCGACCTGCGAGCGACGAAGGGCGATCGGCGTCAGCGGGGTCTCGATAGTGTGCAATGTACCTCTTCGCCTTTGAAAAACGCAGGCGGGGCGAGGAACGTGGAGAGAACGAAGCGAACGCACCCGCTCGTCGGTGCAAGGCAGCGGAAGCCGCGTTTCTGGTCGACGCCAGTGTAGTGTGCGAATACTGCGTGATAACCTCGTCAGCTGACTCGACGCTGAAGCGGACGAAGGAAGCGCGGGCGAGTGGAAAGGGAGAGCGCACCGTCCAGCTTGATTTCCTGGCTGTGGTCGTCGACGATGAACCCGAAGCCCTGTCGATCCTCACCTGGTCAGCCAGCGTCTGGAGCGAGCAAAGGGGAACTGAGCACACACCTTCTCGACGTCGAAGAACTTGCAAGTCCCAGTCGACCAAAACGCCTCGCCTTCCTCGAGCAGTTGCGAGGCGGTCTTGCCTGTTGTACTGAGAGCGGGAGGGGCGGGAGATGCGGCGACGGGAGGAGAGGGGAGAGGAGGCGGAGGGAGCGGGAAGTTCGATGCGGCGAAAGGAGGGGCAGCGGGAAAGGTGAAGCCTGGCGGAGGAGGCGTGTGAAGCGGGAACGGAGCGGGAACGGAAGCACAAGCAGGCTGCAAGGGCACAGGAGGCGGTGCGTAGAAGCGGAACGGAGTAGACGAGAAGCCAAAGGGCGAACTGGGAGGAAAGTAGCCCAAGTCTGGCGAATACGCAGGAGGAGTGCGAGAAGAGATGGGATAGATCAATGGTGAAGACTCGTACAAGCCGAGGCCAGACAGTGGAAAGCAGGTCTGGGACGGAGCGAAGCCAGACAGAGCCGGGTCGACTTGCCAGTTCGTCTCGAACGGATTTTGAGGAGGAGGCGAGTACGGCTGGAACTCGTGCTGCCACAAAGGCGGAGAATACGGTGCCGAATCGCCCACGTCAGGGTGGCTGTCAAAGTAGACGAGCGGCGAGACGACGCTCTGGAAGCCTTGTAGTCCAGTCGGGCGAGGCGAAGGAGGAGAAGCAGGGACGGTCAGTCCCGCCGCGTGCGTCTCGAAGGCGTCGGGTAGGAAGCAGCTGCTGAGCTGCGGAGGAGACAAGTCGAGCGGGGGAGTCGGACTGCGAGACCCGGCGAGCGAGTGACGGCGGGTGCGGGTGGGAGTTGCGGAGTCGGACGAGGGAGGAGAGGGAGGAGCGTCAAAGGGCCGGTCGAAGCCGGTCGACGTCTTCGGGGAGCTGTGGGAATGTAGGACGTCGAGCGAGGTCAGTGTCGACATCAACGATGTGGAGACGAGCGAACGACTTTGAAGCGGAGAAGGCGTACCTGTACGAGGCAGAGCGAGCGCGGGTCATCGTCGTGATCGGCGCGGTTGTCAGTAGACGAATGCGAGTCGACGTTGCGAGTAGAGTGAAGGAGAAAGAGAGGCAAAGAGCGACGTCGAGCGCAAGTCGACTCCCGCCTCGTCGAGTTTCGACCGGTCCACACTGCGGCGTGCGGTGACTTTGTCGAGGACAGGGGCAGCGTAGCACGTGAAGCTTTGAAGCGTCGAGGTGAGCTGGATGGAAGGTGAACGAACTCGAGTGCGAGCGTGCTGAACGGGCGAAGCAGAGACCGTCTCCTCGTCCTCTCCCCCGGGTCGCCTTCCTCAACTTCGCCTCCGCTCCGTTCGGCTCTTCAACCGGGTATTTGCCACACAAACCTCTCAGAGATGAGAGCGAGACTTCTGCGGGCGGAACGGCCCAAGTCCGCCCTCGACTTCACCGCTCACAGCGACAAGTCCCCGTTCTCTGCTCGCACTCTCGCTCAAACGCATGTACTCCCTCACTCTTCCTCACGAGGACAACGCGCGCGTGTGGAGTCAAACCGAATTGCACACGAAACGGGGGAGTAACCTTGAGGAGTCCTAGGCAGCAAGGAGAGAGAGAACAACACGCTCGGGGGGAAGGGGGAGGGGGATCAAGCGATGACGACAAGCGGGGGGAGAGAGGCGTTGTTCAGACACGACTGGCTGCTTCGTATCCGGAAAGGCGTGTGGAATGCGAGGTGGGGAGGGAGCGGGAGGAGAAGCGTGCGAGGGACAAAGTCCGCCCGTTTACTTCTTCTTGCCGGCAGCCTTCTCGGCCGACTGCGCGCGGGAAAGAGGGCGAGGGTGTTAGCAAGCTGTACCAGAGAGCGAGGAAGGAACAGAGGCGGAGGGGACGAACCTTGGTGACTGCGAGTGGCGAAGGCGGTGACGATCGCGACGACGACAGCGAGGCGAGAAAGAACGGGCGATGAGGCGGACGAGGTGACAAGAGAGCGAGCGAGGCGACGGAGAGCGAGCGAGGGGGAGGACATGGTCAGCACGGAGACTTGGGGCGTGGACGTGAGAAAGACGCACCCTTGCCACCCTTTCCGTCCGTCTTCTCGACCGCCTTATAACGAGAAAGCAGCGTCAGTATCGCTGAGCTGTTGAAAAACATGCGAGAGAAGGAAGCGGGAGAGGAGACGCACCTTGATGACACCGACGGCAACGGTCTGGCGCATGTCACGGACGGCGAAACGACCGAGGGGAGGGTACTCGGCGAACGACTCGACGCACATCGGCTTCGACGGAACCATCTTGACGATGGCAGCGTCACCCGACTTGATGAACTTGGGCAGGTCCTCGACCGACTTGCCCGAGCGGCGGTCGATCTTCTCGAGGAGCGTGTCGAACTTGCACGCAATGTGGGCCGTGTGGCAGTCGAGGACGGGCGCGTAGCCGTTGCCGATCTGGCCGGGGTGGTTCATGACGATGACCTGGGCCTTGAACGACGCCGCCTCCTTGGGCGGGTCGTTCTTCGAGTCACCGCAGACGTTGCCGCGGCGGATGTCCTTGACGGAGACGTTCTTAACGTTGAAGCCAACGTTGTCTCCGGGGAGACCAGCCTCGAGCTGCTCGTGGTGCATCTCGACCGACTTGACCTCGGTGGTGACGTTAGACGGGGCGAAGGTGACAACCATGCCGGCCTTGATCGTGCCGGTCTCGACACGGCCGACGGGCACTGTGCCGATACCGCCGATCTTGTAGACGTCCTGTGCGAGCGCCGAAGACGAGCGTCAGCGAGGAGGGTCACAAGCGAACGAAACGACCGCGCGGACGCACCTGGAGGGGAAGACGGAGGGGCTTGTCGGTGGGGCGCGAGGGGGGCTCGATCGCGTCGATGGCGTCGAGGAGGGTCTTGCCGGTGACCTCGCCCGACTTGGTCTCCTTCTTCCATCCCTTGTACCAGGGCATGTTGGTGGTCGGCTCGATCATGTTGTCGCCGTGCCATCCCGAGATGGGGACGAAGGGGACGCCCTTGGGGTTGAAGCCAACCTTCTTGATAAAGTTGGACGTCTCCTTGATGATCTCCTCGTAACGGGCCTCCGAGTACTTGGTCGTGTCCATCTTGTTGATGGCAACGATGAGCTGGCGGACACCGAGGGTGAAGGCGAGGAGGGCGTGCTCGCGGGTCTGGCCGTCCTTCGAGATACCGGCCTCGAACTCACCAGTGCCGGCGGCAATGATGAGGATGGCGCAGTCGGCCTGCGAGGTACCGGTGATCATGTTCTTGATGAAGTCACGGTGACCCGGGGCGTCGATGACGGTGATCATGTACTACGCACACAGAACGAGCGTTAGTATGCGAGTCGCGAGTGGAGACGGAAGCGGGCGGCGAACGAACCTTGGGGGTCTCGAACTTCCAGAGAGCGATGTCGATGGTGATACCACGCTCGCGCTCGGCCTTGAGCTTGTCGAGGACCCATGCGTACTTGAACGAACCTGACAGAGACGGAAGCGAGGCGAGCGAGGTCAGTCGAGGTGCTCGCTGGCGACCGAGCTCCACGTCACCCCGTCAAGACCTCAAGACGAGACGAGCGACGGCGCAGAGTGCTCGCGCGCTCGAAAAATTCGACTAGCTGGACCACGACTCACCCTTGCCGAGCTCAGCAGCCTCCTTCTCGCTGTGGGACGAGAGCGCGAGGGTCAGCTTGGGGTCCGAGCGGGCACGAGGCAGAGAAACGATTTTCGACGCACAACTTCTCGATGGTACGCTTGTCGATACCGCCGCACTTGTAGATCAAGTGTCCGGTGGTGGTCGACTTGCCGGAGTCGACGTGGCCTGCGCGGGAGCAACGGGGGGAGGTCAGCTCGACGTCCTCCTCCTCGCCAGACTCGCCTCGACGATGCTGAACGTACCGATAACGACGACGTTAACGTGTCCCTTTTCCTTTCCCATCTAAGAGGAGGAAAGAAGGAGGAAAGAGAAGGGAGGAGGAGGGAGGGGGGATCCCCTTCAAGTCAGTGACGGTTCGAGGTGGCGACGCCGTTCGGGCGCGCTTGAGCGCTGGTGTGATGTCTTCCCGTGGTCTGTAGAGGGTGTACGCACTTTGAATACGAGTGTAGGTGTGAGATGCGAGGGTGACTCGAAGGTGAAGAGGGAAAGAGACGAGCGGGCGCTGGCTTGCAAGCCCTCGCGCGCGCACAGTCCAAGCTCAGAACTCATTACAACCATGCGCCATTACAACTTTGTATTCAGCTCATTACTGCCCGCTCTACCCGCTCCGCTTCCAGACTCTAAACCATCGCCACTCGCACTCCGCACCACTCACACGACGCTGCGCACCCGCAACGCTCCTCAAACTCTTCGCACAGCTCACCCTCTCGCTCCTTGCCGCCGATGCTCGCTCGCCGTCTCTTCTCCTCAACGCCATCCCCTGCTCTTCTCCGCTCGTCGTTGCTCCGCTCGAAGACAGCTTGCGCGGCTTCTCCCTTCCTCGCTGCGTGCTCCGTTTCGCTGCGCTCGGCATCCTTCGGGCTGTATGAAGGTACTCGCGAGGTTGAGCGGAGGCGCACGCCCATCGCCCGTCGCCACTCGTCTGTCCTCCTCCTCGCACCGCAAAGCTGCTCTCTTATCGCCACCGACGCTGCGTAGGTCCCTCGCTATCTCCCCTTTACATGCATGGCGTCGATAAGATGTCGACGAGGTTCAGAGCGAAGTCCGTCAGCTTTCCGTCGCTGCGTCCGCTTACCCTCGTTTCCCTCGACTTCCTCCTCGTCGTCTCTCGTCGCGCCTCCCGTCAGAGCCGCCTGCAGCGCTCCCACATCGCCCTTCGGCTGCGGCAGAATCGGCAGACTGATCCGCCGCGACATCTGAGCTTGCGAATGGGCGACGGGCGGCGCTTGACTGGCTGGCTCTCGTTCCGCTTTCACCGCTTCCTTCGCTCTTCACACGATTGCGCATCGTTATTTCGTTGAGCGTCACTTCGGAAGCGGCAACTTCGCGCGAAACCTTTCGAGGTGTCTGCTGCTACCGTCACCTTCGAGTCAACCGTCGCATCTCACACCTACACTCGTATTCAAAGTGCGTACACCCTCTACAGACCACGGGAAGACATCACACCAGCGCTCAAGCGCGCCCGAACGGCGTCGCCACCTCGAACCGTCACTGACTTGAAGGGGATCCCCCCTCCCTCCTCCTCCCTTCTCTTTCCTCCTTCTTTCCTCCTCTAGATGGGAAAGGCAAGGTACCCGTACCGAGGTGACGTTGATCCGATGACGTCTCTGTCAGGGACATCCGCCGCGGCAACGTCTGCGGTGACTCGAAGAACGACCCGCCCAAGGAGGCGGCGTCGTTCAAGGCCCAGGTCATCGTCATGAACCACCCCGGCCAGATCGGCAACGGCTACGCGCCCGTCCTCGACTGCCACACGGCCCACATTGCGTGCAAGTTCGACACGCTCCTCGAGAAGATCGACCGCCGCTCGGGCAAGTCGGTCGAGGACCTGCCCAAGTTCATCAAGTCGGGTGACGCTGCCATCGTCAAGATGGTTCCGTCGAAGCCGATGTGCGTCGAGTCGTTCGCCGAGTACCCTCCCCTCGGTCGTTTCGCCGTCCGTGACATGCGCCAGACCGTTGCCGTCGGTGTCATCAAGGTGCGTCTCCTCTCCCGCTTCCTTCTCTCGCATGTTTTTCAACAGCTCAGCGATACTGACGCTGCTTTCTCGTTATAAGGCGGTCGAGAAGACGGACGGAAAGGGTGGCAAGGGTGCGTCTTTCTCACGTCCACGCCCCAAGTCTCCGTGCTGACCATGTCCTCCCCCTCGCTCGCTCTCCGTCGCCTCGCTCGCTCTCTTGTCACCTCGTCCGCCTCCTCACCCGCTCCCTCTCGCATCGCTGTCGTCGTCGCGATCGTCACCGCCTTCGCCACTCGCAGTCACCAAGGTTCGTCCCCTCCCCCTCTGTTCCCTCCTCGCTCTCTCGCACAACTTGCTGAAGCCCTCGCCCTCTTTCCCACCTGCAGTCGGCCGAGAAGGCCGCTGGCAAGAAGAAGTAAACGGGCGGACTC